CTATACATTAATTAGGTCGTTAATTATGATTCTAATTAAAGATTATTTTTCAAAATTTCAAATAAACAAATGGACTATAAATATAGCTTCTTTGGGTCAAAACGAGTCGAATGACTACAATATGGGTCATATTTTGTATTGAAATAAAAATATTATATTGTTCAAATGATACAATAGGCGAATAATAAATATGTAATGTGATATATCTATATACAAAAAAAGTCAGCATTATTTGTCTTGAGCTTTTCGCGGCTCATATTGTTTTACGATTATTAATCAAACGATTGAAATTTCTCCTCCAAAATTCATTTTATTTGATTATCGATTCGAAATGATTATGGTTATGATTCGAATTGAGCTGAATTTAATTGTCAAGTATAAAGTATATATTTTTACTTAAATTTAACTTTGCTTGAATTTTATGAGAATAAATAAAAATTAGTTTCTAGGTTTAAGATAGAAGTATTAATTGAGTCGAACTTAAATTCAGTTCTCAGTTTCACGTAATTGTGATTAAGACTCGAATTGAGCTAAATTTGACTGTTAAGTATAAAATATAATTTTTTTCTTAAACTTAAAGGGTGGGGTTATTCCCACCCCCAAATCTCCATTCCCACCCCATTTAATTACTCTTTATCAAACTATTAAGTCCACGCTTTATATACTCACCACATGTTACATACATCTCTTTTAAAAAGAAAAGAACAAAATAAGAAAAAAAAAAAAAAAAGAGAAGCAAACTGAGAAGGACAAAAAAAATCAAGTAAAGATTAAAGGAATAAGAAAAACTACAAAACACAAAACCACAAGACATAAAACTGGATATGAAAAAAAAAAGTATCAAGGATAAACACAAAATCGAACAAGAAAAAAAATAACAAGGATAGGTGCAAAACTTAAACAAGATAAAAAAAATAAAAAAACTCTAAAAGTGTACATATATATACACACATATAAATTCTAAATAAAAAATTATTAAACTTGACAGAGAGATCAACACATACCGAAAATAATGAAAATCCATGTAACAAACAGGAAATCAAATATTGAATTAAATTGAGAAGTAATAATAACATGTATCTCAATGAAAAAATTCATGTTAAAAAAGTATTTTTGTGAGTGAATGAGATAAAATAAAGAATGAAACCATAATTATGACAAAATATAATGTGAGTTTACTTATTAAACAGGGTGTATATAGCTTGGGTGGATTTAGTTACTAATGGAATGGGTATAGAAGGGGTGAACTTAGTAATTTGATAATGATAAATTAAATGGGGGGTGGAAATGTTGATATGTAGGGTAGAAATAGTCTTATCTAAACTTAAATTTGATTGAATTATACGAATATTTAAGTTGAACTCAAATTAAAACTATTTTTCATTTTTCAACAAAATTATTTACATTTTGGAGAATTCACGTGAAACTTTTGGATGTTTTCCTCACAAAAGTTACACGAACTCACATTGAAAAAATGATACAGAGATAATGTTATGAACTTATAGTAGAAACCTGGAAAAAAAATAGTTATATTTTTTTGAAATTTGAGATAAGTTTATTAAAAATGTTAAAATAGTGAATTTTTTATCAATAAAAATTATATTTTCTTATAGATTGTTGAATTAATATGTAGCAGTAGTTGTAACTTGACTTTCGTTATATAAAGGTTTGATTATGAATGTTCTATATGCAAGTTGAACAATATCAATTTAATCGTTGTGTTGTTGAAATTATATTATACATTGTCTTTATTTATGAAAAAATATTTATAATTTTTTAGAAGTAACATAGTGCCTTCAGGTACGGATAATTACTAATATATAATAAAAAAACTAGATTTCTTTGTCTTTATATTTTCACGACTCAGATTACTTGACGATTATTAATCCGATGGTCCTAATGCAAAATTTCCTCTCCTAATTTTTTGAACAAGACTTATATTCCTTCCACAATTCTAAAACTCATATACCTCTTATAACTCTCTCTCTCTCTCTCTCTCTCTCTCTATTTCTCTATCTCATATNTGTATTCTTTCCACAATTCTAAAACTCATATACCTCTTATAACTCTCTCTCTCTCTCTCTCTCTCTCTCTATTTCTCTATCTCATATTACACATTAATTTGATCGTTAATTATGATTCTATATAATTAAGGATTTTTTTAAAAATTTTAAATAAATAAATGGACCTTAAATACAGATTCTTTGCGTCAAAACAAGTTGATTGACTATAATATATGTCATATTTTGTACTGAAATAAAAATACTATAATATTTGAATGGTATAATAAGCAAATAATACATATATATATATATATATATAATTTGTGATGTATCTATATATTAAGGGGGCAAGCATTGTTTGTTTTGAACTTTTTGCGGTTCAATTTGTTTTAAGATTGTTAATCAAACGATCAAAACTACTCCAGATTTTTTTTTGACCAAAAATTACAAGAATTCTTTCATTTTACACAATTATCGATTTGAAGTAATTATAATTAGGATTCAAATTGAACTGAATTTGATTATCGAGTATAAAGTATATATTCTTACTTAAACATAACTTTGCTCGAATTTTATGAGTTTATTCAAATTTGAAGTTAAATTGAAATTGATTATAAAAAATAATAAAATTTTTAAAAAATTATAGTGTCATTGTGAATGAGAATAGATAAGAATTAGTTCGTAGGTTAAGATAAAAGTATTAATTAAATCGAACTTAAATTCAATTCTCGGTTTGACATAATTATGATTAAGACTCGAATTGAGCCGAATTTGGTTGTCAAGTACAAAATATAAATTCTTACTTAAAATTAAATTTGATTGAATTTTACGAATATTTAAATTGAACTGAAATGAAAATTGATTTTAATTTCTCAACAAATTTTTTTATATTTACGATAATTCGCATGAAACTTTTAGATGTTTTTCTCATAAAAGTTACACAAACTCACATTGAAAAAATAGTGCAACGATAATATTATAAACTTTAGATATAAACCTGCAGAAAAACAAATAGTTATAATTTTTTTAAATTTGAGATAAACTTTATTAAAAATGTTAAAATAGTGAATGTTTGATCAATAATAATTATATTTTTTCAGATTTTAAAATTAATATGTTGCAGTAATTGTAACGTGACTTTCGATATATAAAAGTTTAAATGTATATGTTCTGTATACAAGTTGAATAATATCAATTTGATCGTTATATTGTTGAAATTGTATTATACATTTTCTTTATTTATGAATAAATATTTATAATTTTTTACGAGTAACATAGTGTCTTTAGGCACGGATAATTACTAGTATATATATCTAAAGAGAGAGAGAATATCAATTGTTCTTGAATTTGAATTTTAAATTTATGTAAAAAAAATTATTGGCATATCTTCATTGAAAGTGAATTAATGGATAACAATTCTTAAGTTGGGAAATTAATTTAAAGTTGCTTTTAAAGAAAAGTATTTTAGAGTTAAAAAAAATAGTAGACTTAAGCACTTATTAGTAAAAGTAAAAATGAACTTATCTCCAAAAAAAAATTTAACGGACTAAACTCGTTATAAATTCTTTAAGGAGGACTTAGTCCCAATTTTTACTAATTTTTAGGTGTGTAGTAATAGTTCAAACAAAAAATTTGAATCCATAAAAAATAAACCCCACAAAAATCCTAGATTTAAGTTCAAATAAATTTTTTTAACTTGAGTGGATTGAACTATGGGTGTAACTCGGGCTGGTTGGCGCGAGTTGAGAGGTCAACCCTAACTCAACATTAGGTATATAATCTTCAATTCTAACTCTAACCCTATCCCTAACCCTACCTCAACCCGAGATACTCAATGAGTTTAATTCGGCGCGAGTTCGGGTTGAATTCGGGCTGATTTTGAGTTAAAAATCAGTTGAACTTAGGTTATTTAATTCGGATTGATTTTTTAAAGTGTAGATTTGATTTTTTTCAAGTGTAGATCTGATTTTTTTAAGTAATATGAGATGAAGGGCGAGAGTAAATGAAGAGAGAGGGAATGAGAGAGGGAGGAGTGACGAGTGACAGTGAAAGGCTGGGAGTCTGAAAAAATTCAGACAAGTAACGATTGAGATAGGGAAGAATGACGAGTGACAGAGGGATCTGAGAGTGATGGAGGTGTAGAGGTAAAAATTTAAAGTGAAGTAAAAGTCGAGACTCTAAATAGTGAAGATAAATACTAACCATAGTTAAATATATTTATGTATATTCAAGTTCAACCCAATTTAATAATCGGGTTCAACTCGATTTTAATATTCGAGTTGAACCCGACAACTCGAGGATTGCCCAAATTTAATTCAGGTTGATTTTTTTTGCTCAGGTCTAACCCAGGTATTACAAATTCTAACTCAAACCCAGTTTTTTTCTAATTAGGCTTGGGTTGAGTTCGAATTAACCCATCCAAGTTGTAGTCCTAGATTGAACATATTAATTCATTCAACCCATGAAATTAAAAGGCTCTAACTGAATTAGTTGGTCCTAAAATTCAATTTTTCTAAAACAAAAATAAAAAAGTTAACAATAAAACTAAATCTACTAAAAAAAATTCTTAACTGCTCCCAAAAAAATCAAGCTCTTCCCTATTTTTCTCTTACCATAAAGTTTAACTATGATAATAAAAATTTGAATATAAAATTTGAATTAATATTTTTTATTTAAAAAAAAAAACTTTTTTATTAATTCCGCTTTAAACCCCAAAATATCTCGGGCGGCTCCTGCGTTACCCTGCATCAATATTTTTTCAATGTAAACAAGAAAAAAAAGTCTGCGTTGTAGATTTGACTTCAATGCGTAGAGCTATAGAACCTTGTTCTCTCTCTCTCTCTCTCTCTCTC